TTATGTAGCCTTGGGCTTGATATAATGACTACAGTACCAAACGTATGATGGAGTATACATTTACAGCAAATACGGTATCAAATGTAGGACTGGTTGTACATGTACAACAACTACCATATTTATCCTACTACAGACGACAATGCTAGCTTTGCAGAATTAAGCAGCTTATTATTGATAATAAATCTCATGAAAGTATAAAATTATTAAAAGTATATAAGAAAGCAGCATATAAAATCTGTTCATGATCACAGAGCTATCGGGAATGTAGCAGACTGGAGGTGGATATGGAGTTAATGCCTAGAGGGTCATTAACCCTTTCACCCCTATATAACTTAAGTAAACTCCACCATGCTTTTATCTGGATGAGTCCATTATGGTCCACAGTGGTGAAAGGGTTACGACAATGTCTATCAACTTAAAACAAATAATGATGTCGTGAACACACTTTTGACAGTCAAATGATCAAATTCACACTGGACCAGTGTAAATTGGAACAGTTTAAGGTTAAAATCACCCGAAAGTCCGGCGTGGTAATCACAACTATGATCAAAGGAACATGGTACCATTATATCCAATAGGACACTAGCTAGCCATCACATTTTGAAAAAGCAACAGTTTTCATTAATAAATTCAAATATCAATTTACCTGTGTTTTTTAATGTAAAGAATTAATGCACAAGAATCATTTTGCATTTTCTTTTTTTAAATTCTACAAGTAGTACTACAAAAGAAAAGCAAAATTATTTATATCTTGAATTTTCTGTCAATACTTAGCACTTTCTGTCTGCCCAAGTTAACTTTTCCCCAGATATTGAGACCAGGAGATAGAGTTATGTAGAATAGTTGCAGTTATGTTACACAATCTCAAAATCTTGGAGACATGTCACCACGAATGTAGATATATCCAGCAAAGCAGGGGACATAACTCTTTGTCAAAATGAGAAAGAACAACTATATTTCCAATATGGTGACAATGCAATTCCATTTAAATGAAATTAATTAATCAATAAGAAAAGCACTTATCAAATAATATAAAGCAATACTCCTTAATTAAATCAGGAGTACAAGTATGAATAAGGCATATCATATTTACTTATTTTAATAAAAATCCATGAATGGGCAATGGTCAACCAATGATAATACATGTAACATCATGTATTAGAAATGGAAACAATAAAAAATTGGCATGCTTCACAAATTCAAAGATGTATACTAAAATGACAAATTTTGCATTCAATGCAATTAAAAGTGTTGCGTCAAAAGAAAATTGGCATTACACAACGTTAATTTGGTTTTGATCTAATTTCTGTGTAACGAATTGTATACTACAATTTATTTCTGTCATAAGACTTATTATTGATAAATATCATAACTTTTTCAAACGAATTGTAAATATATTCAATTTGAGATACATAATGGCTTTTTGTATCTGAATGGTATAATCAGGCCGCATTTGTTTATCGCGGTCCAAACTGTTGAACCAGAGTTGTTCGTTAATTAAATAAGGTGGACATAGTTATCTGATGCTACTTTCAGGCGAGCCTTGACAAAGCCTTGCAATGCCTGCATAAACATTTGCAGGTCCGCCAGGATTTATACCCGAAAATGTTACAAACCGGTCGAACTCAGATATGCGAAAGGGGCTTTAGTAATGTTTTTATAAAGTTATCTCCCCTTTAACTACAAGCATGACGAATCATCCTCTCTCATGATTACCTATGTAATTGCATAAATAGAATAAACATTGAAAAAACAATTGTATGCATAAGTAATTTGCATTTTTACACGATCTTTCTTAAGGCCACATAAAATATTTCACTTTAAAAAAATCCTCTGTTACTGTTTTGGTTTTTATTTCATTCTCATTTGAGAATGTTTGTTATGTTATCATTTTTGATACATTTTCATCTGTAAGAGATTTCAGAATAAGATTTCTCTTTAACTTATTTTTGGCTTTTCAAAATGTAGGAATATTTTTAAAAATATTTTAGATTGAAACACCTGCATATAATGCTGTTCATGTTTTTAAATATTTTTTATAATGAGATTGTTTCTAATAAAAATCATTTATCAATCTTATAAATTTATTTCAGAGACAGTTAATGAGAATAAATATTAAATAATTTTATGTTTGTTTGTAATAAAGTCACATTTTCATTCCAGAAATAATTTTGAGATAGCATCTTCTTAGTTGCAAATTTAAGTATTTGTTAATAAAACCTACAGGCATATTTTGCCAAAAAAAAACAAAAACAAAAAAACCAACATGAACACATGAAAATACAGTGATATACAATGATTCTGATGTGCATCAAAGCGTCTTAACTGAATGTACCAGTTTCATTATTTTTTTTTATAATCAATTTCAGGAAGTTTACATGATGATTTGCTAAAATATAATGGTTATAATATCATGTCGTTATAACACACTGTATGGCAAGTATTCTACACAAATATCACATTGAAACGTTTTATCACAAGGACAGACAGGAAAAACAGTTAACACGCCTGCCGTGGTCCCATCGTATTATTAATCACTCAAGACGCTGTACTCTGTCAAACTTTTACTGTACTCAGTTAACTCATTCCCCCTGAAGACACATTTGAACTCTTCCAATTCAAAGGTTGGAATAGTTCATTATGAATTTCAGGGGTGAATGAGTTAAAAGTTGAACCGTACTCAATGACATAAGAACATTGACATCAGTGTTACTCAATCACACTCGATCGTACTCAATTAAATTAAACTCAATGACATTTAACGGTATAGTTAATGACATTATACCGTACTAATTTTTAAGTAGGACTATATTCTCAATGGCGTTGACCTGGACTCAATGACATTAAACATTAATGTCATTGGTTTTACTCAATCACACACGTCTGTACTCAATTAAGACAAGTCAGTACTCAGTGACATCAGACCAACATACATGGACTGTACTCGATCACAGTTAAGCGCACTCAATTGAGTTAGACTCACTAACTGAATGGCGCTGGACCAACACACTTAAATACTCAATCACAATGGCTTGTACTAATGCGCTGTACTCAAATTCATCCCAGCAGTACACATATGACTATTGAACCATATCAGTACAGCTATACTTCGAGTATTTGTGGCCAGCTGTTAGACTGTAGAACTACAATTAACACACTATTCTATACTCAAATTTCCTGTTGGACTGTACATATATGGTCACCTTGTCCCCACATCAACAATAATTTCCTTCAGACCTTACTTGTCAATCAGAAACTCTAAAATCAAGTACTGTATAATTGATTAAGGTGGAACAGATGTTTTAAATCAAATTTTGCATATACACTTGTCAGATCTATAACATCGATTGTGTACACATAACTGTGATCAGTTCAGATATCCATATGCCGTCTGAAGAGATATCCTGAGGTCTCTGGAACTGATATCCTGGGATATCCAGTAAAAATATCCTGGGACATCTAACAGGTATGTCTGATTATCTCTGGAAGAAAAACCTTGAGGTATCATGAAAAGATATCCTGATGGTTTTCTGTATGGATATCCTGGGATATCTGTTAGGAATAGTCCAAGCTCTCTAGTACAGATATCTCGAGATATCCTGTATAGATATCCTGGGGTCTCTTCCTGGAACTTTAACAAAGTTTTAGCACATACACGGACATATGCACACAAAAATTGTCCTATGGACCCCATTTGTTTTAACATTGAACATTATCACATGAAGTTTGGGTCTTTGTAAGAGACAGAGAAATATGAGTTTACTACATCGATATCAGATCAAATGACAATGGAAATAGAAACCTACGAATGATGTTAGACAAATTGCCTACATATTTAACCCTTTCACCCCTATGTAACTTTAGTAGACTCTACCATGTATTGATCTGGATGAGTCCATTATGGTCTACAGTGGTGAAAGGGTTTACACTTTTCCAGCAAGATCGTGGAATAGTAGTTTCCTTTAAAATAATCCAGTATTATTTCAGTGTATTTCACAGATCTTGCTTGATCTTTGCGGAACACACAGAGACTCCATTCCTCTGTGACGGATAGTACATTCGTGTTGCTGACTCAACCACGAAATAGAACACCACATTGTTAGTAAGTCCTGATCCAAAACTGATCAAGAATCCATCACAAGAATTCTTTCAGAAACTCAAGAGCAAGATTTTGTTGAAAATTGATGTCACAGAAATGTTTGTCATCAACATTCCAAATAGCATATAAATTAATTCTTTCAAATCCAATGTTGTATGACTTAAATATAGACATCAGATATAAAATGTCCACCTGGGACCTATGTAAATGTTCATAAGGGTCCTTCATACATATTGCTATTGGACCTTTCTAGATGTTGCTAGGGGACCTTAATCCAAACATGTTCCTATGGGACATCCTTAAATATGTTGCTATGGGATATCTGTATATGTTGCTATGGGACCTCCACACATGTCGCTAGGGAACCTCCATACATGTTGTCAGAGGACCTCCTCACATGGTGCTCAGAAACATCCTTAAATGCGTTGCTACGGGATATCCATTCGCATTACTTTGAAACCTCCATACATGTTGCTATGGGACCTCCATACATGTTGCTATGGGACATCCTTAAATGTGTTGCTATGGAATATCTGTATATGTTGCTTTGAGACCTCCACACATGTTGCTATGGGAACTCCACACGTTGCTAGGGGACCTCAGCGCATGTTGCTAAGAAACATTCTTAAATGTGTTGCTATGGGATATCCGTACACATTGTTTTGAGACCTCCATGCACGTTGCTATGGGACCTCGATACATGTTGCTATGGGACCTCCATACATGTTGCTATGGGACCTCCATTCATGTTGCTATGGGATATCTGTACATGTTGCTAAGAAACATCCTTAAATGCGTTGCTATGGGATATCCGTACACATTGCTTTGAGACCTCCATGCACGTTGCTATGGGACCTCCATACATGTTGCTATGGGAGAAGAGTTCAAATGTGTCTGCAGACAGGTAGAAAGATTTCCCATGTTCATCGCTCTATAATTACAGAACTACCACACACTGCACAGTAAAATGTATTTAGGGGACTCTTGACCACTCCTATCTAGCATGTGTATATATGGAGTGAAAACACGAAAATCTATCTCCTCAGCAATCCATTTTGTAAATTACATAGAACTTCTGTCAAACAGTATATTTCTTGAGCTGTCTAGGACTCAACTAGCACTTTTAATACGTCCATCCTTGAATTAAATGTTTGAGGTCACCGAGGTCATGCTGTATTTCACACAAGTGACAAGGATAACTTTTCTTTCAGCTTTTGATTAAATGAGAATTCACAAATTATGAACACACTTTGACAAATCTCTGTCAACCTATGCTGGTGGCACGTTGACCTTGACCTCAGGGTGAGTTTCCTTTGCTTACAAGTTCTAAACAACATCAACATTAATGACTAGTAGAACACTCCTAAGACAATTCCTATCCTTCAAACTGAGAATACTTCTGTCATCAAAGGGACACAACTCCTGTCAATGGGAGGCAACTCTTTGTCAAATTGAAGTTTCGTTCACAGGGCTGTTGGAACTGTAAGCACTCGCCAAGCTTGACTTACTTGTCATGTGATCCTGACTACTAGAATCTGAAAAAGGAAAAGATATTTACTGAATATGAGGCAGTTAACATAATTCTTATATCAGCCTTTTCAGGAGAAAAAATACCAACTAAAAAGTGAATCTTCATCAGCTTAAAAAAATTACCACTAATAAATTCACTTAATTTATCATACAACATGTACACTTTTCTGATTTAAATTATCATACAACATGTACACTTTTCTGGTTTAAATTATTATACAACATGCACACTTTTCTGATTTAAATTATCATACAACATGTACACTTTTCTGATTTAAATTATCATACAACATGTACACTTTTCCAGTTTTAGGGTGTAATATATTGTAACAATAATTAAAAAAAATAAAAATATGTAAGGTAGCTTATCTCCTTAACTCTAACACATTCTGACCAGGTTAATATAATAATTATGTACCTAGCAAATAATATTAAATGATGTTATCATAACTATATAGAACCCTGATTTATCAAAGTGAATCTATTTCAAAGATTTCAGTTAAAACATTATTTTGTTCACCTCTAAGGATATATACTACATTGATAATGAGCAGTCATTAAGGTAGATAGTCCCAGTAATCTGTGATGTATCTCCAAGAGAGAAGAGTTCCAATTTATACTGCATATAACTCAAGCAGAGAGCTTATATTAATTAACATTCAACCTGTCAAATTTTCACCCTCAGGCCTTGTCCAACAAGTTCACTTACATGTATGTTGAAACTACCCTACAGTTATTTTAAACTTAATCAATTTACAACTTAAGTAAAACCATTTTCATTCTACTGTGAACTTGCCATTTTGTTCAAGGGCGAAAAATGGTGAAAATATAAACAATGGTGCATGTTTCCTATTTTACAATAACAATTAAAGCATCTAAACAGCATGGATTACTTAGTTACTTGAATGTTTGATCAGGAAGAGGAAAGTTGTGTTGGTTCAGAGATAACTTTCTGCTGGAGTGTTTAACATTATTTTGCATACAGTAAGCATACTGACTATGTCTAAGGTGTATGAAATAGGGAATATATTTACATACCAAGTATAGAAGGAATATACATAGATAGCATATATATATATGTATATAATCATGATTCAAAAGAGGTATTTTAAACCAGACGTCCAATATAGCGAAATATACCCCCTTAGTTTTCAGTTAAAGCGAAGCAGGAGAATTACCATCCTCGATACCCCAGGGTTACGCTTACTTGCCAACTCTCCCAATTTAGGAGGGAGACTCATGATTTTTAACCCCGAAATTCAGCATTTTCAACCTGTAAATTTGCTCGACTATTCCTGTATTCTAGGATATAATTATTTCATCTGAAAGAACAACTCAAAATATGTCATTTAAAGGGTTATTTTTGTCTTAAGGGGGGTTTATACACACATTTTATATAAATTTTAATTTTGAGCATGCAGAATTTCCCCCATTAGCAATTTCAAAAAGTTGGCAAGTAAATGGTTACGCTTACTTATGCTATCTGCACCCCAGGAATATGTCATAGCAAAATTGAAGGCACGCGGCTATCTATTTGATTGGTCTCGGGTTAAAAAATCTGACCAATCGTTAGGCTGGTACCTGTTCTTTGAAGATTACAGAGGAGCGAGGCCTGTCTTCAAAGCCAGGAAGTTTTGAGAGATTCTTTTGATGTACATCAAAGGATCAAACCAGTCTCCTTGTCTCATCTACAAGGTGGTGCACACTACTGAGTCTTCAATATGACATATTCCAGGGGTGCAGAGAGCGAAAGTGATCGAACCCCTGGATATCGAGGGTGAAGGATAACCTGACAGTGATAACACAGTGTATAAGCTGTTAGTGACGGAACACGCCCACTGACATTATAACGATACGATGTTAAATTCATATATCTAAACTCTGTCTTCTTTCATACAGTAAAACCTCTGTATAATGCCCCTCATTTTATTCGTCACCTCCTTTACCGCCAAAATATTTCAAGGTCATCTTTTTATTTTTTCTTGTTGATTCATCTATATTACCATACCTGTTTATAACACCAAAATTTCACTGGATAAAAGGTGGCAGCGTAAAAAGGTAATTTTTTCTACAATAATCAATCAAATTTCAACCATTCCATATATGATTGCATGTGTTACTATTCTAACTCTTTAAACTTGTCATCTTGGTATTGTTTTTCAAATCAAAACTCAAAATGTTAATATCAAAATCCGATTTTCTGACATGTATCCAAATATGTTTCTCGTAAATTTGAAAGTCCAAGAAAATGTTTTCGGTCTAAATAAAAATATTCAAGAGCTACAGCAATTGGTGCTTATTCAATACCAAATTAGTTTCATGAAATTGACACAAAAAAAAGAAGAGAATATCTAGTAGAAATCTTGCTGCAGGAGACAAGGCAGAGAAACTATATATATAAATGGCTAGTTGAGTGATTAGAAATGTGTCCCCTGCTTTACCAGTGGTATAGTCCTGGTATCACAGAGTGTGTTAATCCTGGAGTCAGTCTATTGCAGAGAGTGGGGGTAACAGGCTGAGAAGGCAACTGTCCACAGCACGTCACGCCAACGCCATACATTACAAGAGCAGGTGAGAGACAGATTGGCAGAGAGTTGAGGAGGTTATACAACAGGAAATCACCTCCGTGACAATTGTGATATGTACCTACCAATACTTGACATGGAAAAATGGGACTGGGAACTTCGCCTTTTGAAAGGTATAAGGTACGTGGATGGTACCCAACCCTCCTGATTGGTCGACAGATGGCGGGCGTACCACCAACCCGTTGACCCTGTGCGAATAATCTCCACCACATCGCTTTCTCGTAAGCTAACTTCATTGGCGTCACTAGCACGGAAGTCGCCTATGGACTTGTACTGCTGCAGGTAGGCAGGCTGTGAGTGAGAAGATAGATTGTCTTATACAAATACACATACATGCATGCAAGCAAACTGTAAGATACTCAGTTAAGAATTGGCATTACCCAGTAGTTTTTTTTTATTGTTTTAATCAAAAAAAATTCTACAAGCTTTCGACACCATTTCAGTATCTTTCTCAAGTTATTGAACCATTTAAATTACCCCTAAAGTCACATTTGAACCTTACCAAATCAAAGACTGGACAAGTCCAATTTAAAAATGTAGAGGTGAATGAGTTTATAGAGTTCACTGACTTTTTTTCTTGTCACTGACGATGTCAACATTGTCATGTGACCAAATTTCTTGGAATATCACTGGGGTCTCATAGCCACAGGCTCAGTTAAGAGTTAAATATTCCTCAGTACTACTTTAAGATATAGAGTTTACAAGGCCCATTGGTCAGTTCTCACCTCTGACCCTCGTCTGTCGTGATTTCTGGACTCGTCCTCGTCAGAGTTGGTGAACTCTCCACTTGACCATCCATCGTCGTCATGTGGTGGGGCTGGCGGCGACTCCGGGGACATCATTTCCAGCCCCTGGGGTACAGTCGGGGCATTGTTGTTGCATGATGCTTGTCTATTTGACCGCCAGTTGTCGACATATCTAGGGAAATAACCCACAAGACAAATTAAAAAAAAGTTTAGAACTGTCATGTAGCCTGAACCTTTTAAATCAGTTGAAATCTTTGCCTATCTATTCAGTTGTTCAGAAATATCTTAAGCCCCTAATGGATTCTCACACTGGGTAATTAGAAAATATCACAATCGGAGATTAACGTTGGAGGAATGCATATTGGGCAACGTCCTCGATACTCAAGGGGTAACGCTCACTTCTGCTCTCTGCATCCCTAGAATATGTCATAGCAAAATTGAAGGCACATGGCTAGCTATTTGATTGGCATCAGGAAAATAAAACATGATCAATCGCTAGGCCAATACCTGTCCTTTGAAGATAACAGAGGTGCGACGCCCGACTTCAAAGCCAGTCCATCTCACCGTTACACACTCGACAGATTCTTTTGAAGTACACCAAAGGATCAAACTAGTTTTCTTGTATCATTCACAAGGTGGTGCACACTGAGCATTCAATTTTGCTATGACATATTCCAGGGGTGCAGAGAACGTAAGTGAGTGTAACACCTGGAGTATTGAGGACGATTGTATATAACGATGAAACAAACCAGCAAGATTATTTTGATGTGATGTTTAAAAACTATCTTGCTAATCCACGTCTTGCAGGACAAAATTCATTTATGAAAACGTGAAAATATCTATGGTATTTTAACAAAATTTTATTATCGATACATTCCTTATATCTGATAAAATTGAAGGCATCTTTTCTTAAACATAATCAATGAATTTCATAAATCTTATAAGCAAAACCTAGTCAACAAATTCACAGATCCCACCGCGTGCACCTGTTTTTTTTCTTACCTGGAGTTATTGCATGGAAGGTCTTCTGATAAATTTTGCAGGTCTTCTTCTGACTTGCCTGCCAGATTTAAATGGTGAACTGTAAAATGTAGATGTCCAAACACAATGATGAATTTTATATATAATATTTTTTACATCCAATTATATTATTATGAAGCCCTACAATATTTTTTTAAATTAATTTTCACCGAAAAACTTAAGTTCAAAATACAATAGCATCTAATTGAATAGCTTAAACTTTAAACTGTGAAGTATATAATTTTGAATAATGGTCATTAAAAGATAAGCTGTGAATTTCTATAGCAAAAGTATTAGTCATGACCTGATATAAGTGATCACAATCAGCTTGACTATACCTTTTTAATTCATATTTTCCAATAAAGTTTAAAAAAAAGAAGAATTAAAATAATGCTTTCTACAAGCAGAGCCTCATACAAAATAGCAGAATACAGTGTCAGCAATGTGATTCAGCAAAACAAAGCATGGTTTTAGGAATAAATCTAGGGTAGCTTAATTTGTGATGAATGATTATGAATAAAATTTGGAAATAAATAGGAAATGGATGTGATGACGGATGTCTGTGAATGGATAAGGAAAGGGATTCAAATGTGAAACATGAAATATTTAAAACAAAAGTGTGCCTTTAATACTATGACACTACACCTTATTTATCTTATTCACCCCTGCAATTTCATAATGAACTATTCCATCCTTTGAATTGGAAGAGTTCAAATGTGTCTGCAGGGGTGAATGAGTTAATAGAGAAAGTCGAATGTCTGACATCGCCACTTAAAATATGCCTTTTGTTTATGACAACATCTAGTTTAACAAGGTGACAGTGAACATGGGATGTAAACAAATTTGCATTTCATATAAAATCAGATTTTTTTTTGATTTTTTTTACAACAAATCTACTTAAAGATGTCTGTCACGTCATACATTACATATTTAATATGTCTTTGAGTAATTTCCCTTGGTGATCTCGGGAACTGGATACGAGACAGCTAAGTAAGCTAAATTGTTTGTCTCGAGTTAGGAATTTCTGGATTTTGCATTTGTATTTTTCCCTTTTCTTTACAAACTGATGCATGTAACCAACCCTTGTCACTGTTACAGACTTGGCAAGGTGACTTTATTTATTTATTTTACAACAATTATGAAACAAGATTTTTCAACTTAGGAATGACGTCCAAGACTGTTCATTTGATTAAAGCTTCCATCTAGAGTTCAGAAGTTGCAGGTTCATATCCTAATCATACATACAAGACATCAGGGGCCTGTTCATTTATGCGGAACAACCGGTTTGACCATTTACAAATGTAACAATTTCGGAAATAAATCCCGGCGGACCTGCTAATGTTTATGCAGGCCTTGCAAGGCTTTGTCAAGGCTCGCCTGAAAGCAGCATCAGATAACTAGGTCTGGCTTTATTTAATAAACGAACAACTGTGGTCTGACTGGTTTGCCCGTTTACACGAAAACGGCCCTGGACTTAGATGACACTGATTACCAGATAGCTTGGCAAAGTGCATCCATCGAAGAGTTTGAACGACCTGGATTAGATTGCCTTTTGGGGAATGATGCTTTTTCCTGTCTGCTACGTTTATAAAGGCTTTACTGTATGTCTTAAGAGTGATTTTTTTTGTTCAATTTTTCTGCCAAATACAGGCTGTTTCCCTTAGCTAAAAATGCCATTGGGGAATGTATTCCCAGTTTCAATACAAATAATGCTATATTTTCCAAATTCATTAAGGAATAGGCTGTTGTAAAATTTAGGTAACAACATCACTGCCGAAATATTGATGGCTAAAGGCGATTTATATTTTTCAGAAGATCACAAATATCAATAAATTTTGCCAATATTACTAGATATACGTTGCCAAAACAAATGTGCTACAATCATCAGTAAACACACCAAGGTGATTTGCTAATTCTAGGCCATGCTAAGTCTTGAAATGAGATATTTACCATCGAACTTACTTTTCAGCTGATCAAACTGGTTCATGAGAACCCGTTTGATTTCTTTCACCCACATGTCTTTACAAGGCAATGTGGGTGCCTGAAAAAAGAACAATCAAAATATGTAATTATTGTTACAACATTTACCCCTTTCACCACTGTAGACCATAATGGACTCATTCAGATCAATGCATGGTAGAGTCTACTAAAATTACATAGGGTTGAAAGGGTTAATCAAGCCATACATTTCTTATTTATTCTGTGAACATTTTGTTCCAAACAAATGTAACAAATATTTTAACCTTCGTGAAGTGACTCTCCCATTTGGAGAAATATCGCTATGTATCATAAGTATATATCTCTAAAAAAAAAATCATTTTTTTGTTGGAATCGTTCTCATATTCAGCTAAAAATAAATGCCAAAACTGATTGTTAGGAGCTCTTACACTGACCTGAATGATATACACTTCCTCTCGTCCGCGTAACCATAACTCAAATTTCTTCTTATCTCCCTTGATGTTTTCGGTGAGACCAACTTGTGAAAGCTGCGAAAAAAAATACAAAAGAGTTACTGTGTGTTTAAAATCATGGTATCGCATGTGAATATGTTTGTGTCATTTTAATAAATGTGAAATTAATGAAAATTTCTACAGCCATTAAGCTTATTTACTAGACTGCTGAATTTCTCCTTATGGAGATTTGGCAGTATATTTGAGCTTTTCATTCATTCAAATTATACTCCATTGTTTAAAATCAAAGGGACTAGGCACAAGTCCTTACAACATACTAGGCCCTCTCCTGACTTTTTGAGCTTTCAACTAAACAAAATTTTGGGAAAAACATTCCAGATGTCTTGAAAATAAATGACCCAAATTATGATTAAATTGACTTTAATTAATATCTAAAATTTGCGGAGATTTGATGTCGTCAGTCCATTTCTTCTTTGAATTTTAATAGTAATATTTGATAAATTAAGCACATTTATTGTAGCCTATTTGAGATATTATATACAATGTAGATATATTGAATCCAAATTATATTTTGCTTACTTTTAGAAGATTTTTAAAACTATAAACTCCTTTTTCCGATGATAAACCGATTTCTTCTTTCCTTTTACACAATAATATTGATTTCTCATATAAAAACATATGTCTCTGCATTGGTTTAAAGCGTATGTCTTTGATTCGTCCTCTTTGATGTTCTGTAAACACATTAAAAGCCCCCTGCATGAGTAACCTCCCCTGATCTGATAAGTTTCCCTGCAAGTAAGAAAAAAAGACAAAGTAAGACAAAATACTGATAAGTCATAGTAATTGACATAAAAACTTTGAAAAAGGAATATGAAAGTCGGTTTTATTCAAAATTCTTTATGATATTTTTATCTCATTTTTCTTAAATATACTTTTTCAGAATAGGCTGCAGACATCTTTTTATACAGTGAAACCTGTCTAATCCAACACAATGAGAGACACAACATATTGGTCTGCAAAACCTGTCTAATCTGAAAACTTGTGGAGCACAACACACTGGTCAGATTAACTTGTCTCAAAAATCTGACACCCTGGGGGATGTCAAATGAACTTATCTCATCTGACACCCTGTTCGTCACAACATATTGGTTAGATTCACCTGTCTAATCTGACACCCTGTGTGAACCATCATATTGGTCAGATTAGACAAGATATCAGCATACACAGGTCATACTGTATAATAAGTGTTAATTAGAAAATTATTTTAAAACATTGCTGGATTAGAAAGTGTGTCAAAATGCACATGTATCATATTAAACAGGCTTTACTTTTTTTTCCCCAAGTTAATATAAAAAAATAATAGTAATAATAATAGAAATTACATTTCTATGTTAAAAGATAAGATGCCTGATCTCTGGTATGTACAATGATGGAAATAATTGAAGCTTGTGCTTCATCCCGAAAGAATGAAAATATTTTTAAGGTAAGGAGGATACATTGAGGAGGGATTGGGGTCAGAGACTGGTATAATGAAATCTTACCGGGAAACTGACGATGGACACCTGATGCATGCTGTCATTTACAAATCGTACAACATCCAACATGGAGTCCAGCGCTTCCTGTATATGAGCTTCACACGCTGGGTCTTGTTCCGAAAACCGGAGCATTTCCTGAAAAAGAAAAATGAATACAAAAATATTAAAACACTAAATTTAAAAATTAGTATTGATTTAATTGTGGATTACGTTGAGGCCCAAGTGCCTTCATTTTGGATTTGAGGATTTGTGCCTACAAGCCTTAAAACCTTAAACTTGGGTGATTAGGAACTGGAAACAGTTATTTGCTGTATGGGTATGAGGAGTCATGCCACAAGTCTTTACTTACCTTGAGTAAGAGCTAGTGTTTTGTGATATGTTGTATGGGTTTGAGGAGTCATGCCACAAGTCTTACTTACCTTGAGTAAGAGCTGGTGTTTTGTGATATGTTGTATGGGTATGAGGAGTCATGGCACAAGTCTTTACTTACCTTGAGTAAGAGCTAGTGTTTTGTGATCCGCTGTATGGGTATGAGGAGTCATGCCACAAGTCTTACTTACCTTGAGTGAGAGCTGGTTTTTTGTGATATGCTGTATGGGTATGAGGAGTCATGCCACAAGTCTTACTTACCTTGAGTAAGAGCTGGTGTTTTGTGATCTGCTGTATGGGTTTGAGGAGTCATGCTACAAGTCTTACTTACCTTGAGTGAGAGCTGGTGTTTTGTGATCTGTTGTATGGGTATGAGGAGTCATGGCATAAATCTTTACTTACCTTGAGTAAGAGATGGTGTTTTGTGATATGTTGTATGGGTATGAGGGGTCATGCCATAAATCTTTACTTACCTTGACTAAGAGCTGGCGTTTTGTGTTATGTTGTATGGGTATGAGGAGTCATGCCATAAATCTTTACTTACCTTGAGTAAGAGCTGGCGTTTTGTGATATGTTGTATGGGTATGAGGAGTCATGTCATAAATCTTTACTTACCTTGAGTAAGAGCTAGTGTTTTGTGATATGCTGTATGGGTATGAGGAGTCATGCCATAAATCTTTACTTACCTTGAGTAAGAGCTGGTGTTTTGTGATATGTTGTATGGGTATGAGGAGTCATGCCACAAGTCTTATTTACCTTGAGTAAGATCTAGTGTTTTGTGATCTGTTGTATGGGTATGAGGAGTCATGCCACAAGTCTTTACTTACCTTGAGTAAGAGCTGGTATTTTGTGATACGCTGCACAGGTTTGAGTAGATACGCCCCCAACGGTAGTTTGTGTCCCAACTTCCGCTGGCATTCCTGAAATCAAAATAATAACTTGTACTTTAAAACCTTGAGCGACTGCTTTTAGTGATACTGATCAATCCAACTGAATTTAACTGGTATCATTCTGCCTCATCTAAATAGCAAAGTACTTGATAGGATTTAACTCATTCACCCCTGAAATTTCATAATGAACTATTCCAACTTTTGAATTGGAAGAGTTCAAATGTGTGTTCAGGGGTGAATGAGTTAATATGTCGCCTTTTCTGGTATGATTCGGTGAGAGTAATTAACGAGGCTTGACTTATGAAATTATGTTCCATATTTAATCAGGTTCACCAAAAACTAAATTTGAGGAGACTAGTGAAATTGGCATTAGACTTTTGAGTCCTAATACAAAATGTAATTAAGTTAAAAGCCTTACCAGAAAGAATGGATTCTGATCCCCGACTTGGTTCCGTAGAGCCTCCGACCTCAGCTTGTTTTGGCAATAAACACTGTATAAGTGAAACTCTTCATTCTGTGCAAACAAACAAAAATAAAAAATATCAACAAAGTTAAACATATATACATTTCATTAATTTCAGAAAAAATAGTATAGATTTTTTTTACCTGACAGGATGGTAAAGGGAAACTAAAAGAATTCTCCAAGACATTTTTTGTGATGTATAATATTTGTCTTAATTGTAGAATTCAAATTAGTTCAACTTGAATATAGAATATACAGAAATTCAACTTCAAAGTAGGATTTCAATAAATTGACTTGGATGTGGGATATAACCAATAAATTCAACTATAATGCTAGATTGCAATGAATCCAATTTCAATGTGGAATTTCAGTGAAATCATTTCAAGGTAGGATTTCAATCAATTCAATTTCAATGTAGGATTTCAATTAGTTGATTTCATTGTAGGATTTCATTTATTAATTCAATTTCAATGAAGAATTTGAAATACATTTCCTTTCAATGTTGGATTTCAATCAATTTAATTTCAACGTAGAATTTCAAGGAATTATATTAAAAAAAAGTCCATAAGAAAAGCTGTTTAATGCAATGTATGAATCATATATGAACAGATTTCAAAAGTGAAAGTTTAAGGAAATTATCTAGAATATCCATTCAAAATAATTTTGAAAGTAAACTTACCCTATTTGCAAAACATTTTCCTACTTTCGCAGGTTGGTCTCTACAATTCTGTAGTTCTTGTAGAAATATACTGAAAAGTAAATATCATTTGTAAAATCTAAATTCAATTTTTTGAGTAAGATATTTCAAAATACCCAGGTAATCTTATTTCTTAAATTTGTTCAAATGTATGCAGTAATTATTCTAATAAATTTTATTCTGGAGAGGACAATCAAACGCACCTTATTGACTATATGTACATTTGAGGTTTATTGAAAATAAAATCTTTTTGGGGGAAAAAATAAAAAATAAAAATTTGTTTATTTTTAACAGGGAATCATAAGATGAAATTTCGTCCATCATAATAGAAATATTTTTGTAACATATTTTTGTGACTTATTTTCTATGATAACAGATGGAAAGGAGAGGGAGGGGGGGGCAACAATTAATTTTTACAGAATTAATATGAGAGGTTGATAATAAGACATCTTATATGGTTGAAACCATGCGTTATTTACAAACATTTGAAAAAAATGATTAAGAATCAGTCTCACTTTTTATGAAAAGAGTATATTTGTTCTAGATTGCCGAAGAGTATTTCTTTCTTGCCCACAAGCTCGTCTGGAATAAGGTGTTGCATGGGTCTACTATCTAACTCCTGCAGGTATCCCTGTAAACAAACAAGTCAGGACATTAGTTTTTTAATGTTCAATTTCTCTTCTGATGCTATTTTTTTTAAAGACAATGTAAGAATATTGAAACTGTTTATATTTTCCAACAAAAATTTTGACAAGTAAGGATGAATTTCCACTTTTGGAATGTTTTCAAAAACCTTGGTCGCTTAGGAATAATTTTGGAAACCAAGATCATCTCCACAATTGATGCTTTTAGTCATAACAAGAAGTGAAATTTGAACTGTTTAATTTAAATTTTGTAAAAATAATTTTGAATAAAATCTATTCAAAAACTTTCATGGAAATTCGCTGATAACTCTGACCCTTATGAATAAATTATTTTTAAAACTAAAATGTGACAGTGATGAAACTGGTATGTAAGTTAATTTTACTACCAAACAAACCTACCTTTATAATATCGTACAGTTGCGACACATATGTTTTTTCTGTCTCAATCAACTCGTTCAACACATGTCTGAAATAATAAAAATAAGTTTGATAAAACAGCTGGCAACATTCTTAGAAAACAGTTAAATTTAAGGTAAAAATTGGCACAAAAACTACTACATGTATATACAATAAATAGTGTTCAGTACAACTTCGTGATATTACAAACTTGGACATTTTGAATTATAACCTTATTTATCTCAAAAATGATTATAATATAGTTTTAGGTCCTACTGGCAGTTTACTGTTATAAGAATTTAAACTTGGATATCTCATGACTGTTAACTATACATATAATTCCCCAGATTATTTTTACTTGTAATCTCACGAGAAATGACAATTATGAACTAAGAACTATTGATGCTGAAAAGATTGGATTGAACATTAAGGAACAGAAACCTGTTCATGTTCTTTGGCGAATTGAAATACCTTGTGAATCATTTATTAGAAGAAAAGACACACAAAAAAACCCCACTTTAAAATTATTGAAGGCACCCATAAATCATTAAAATCCTAAAAGGAATTTGACATATATTAATTTTTGTAAAGATTATATGGAACTGGTTAACACGAGGTCTAACTTATAAGGATTTGTCTGTTAGTGTTTTACGTCCTATTAACAGCTATGGTCATTTAACGTGGATGTGCCAGGTTTTGGTGGCGGAGGAAAGCCAGAGTTCCCGGAGAAAACCCATGTAGGCTTCGAACCAGCATACCCAGTGGTGATGGGCTATATTGGTAGCAGAATGTCAGACGCCTTAACCACTCGGCCACAGCGGCCCCTAAAAGGTAAAAAAACAATGAGCAGGACACTGGCTGAACCCACTTACCTCCTCTTGGCCATTAGTGTATCGGTGTCCATCATGCTGGTTGACCTTGCCGACCCTGACGACCCTGACGAGGTTGTAGTTGACATGGAGGTCACAGAGGCGCGGGTCTTCTCACCCACATTTAGACTGTCAGGGAGACTGCCAAGATTTGTACACGGTGGGGTAATATAAGGACGGGAGGATCCAGTTGCGTCGGTTCGTAACTATGGAAACAAACAATTTCAAAAATTAGATGATGATAAAAAGTTTTAAGTTTTGGCCTACTCAATTTTTCCCCTCTGGTGTTACAAGTGCAACTTACTACATAAACATTATTATTTGCCCATTTCAAATTTTGAACCTTTAAGAAGCTTTTAAGATTATTGTCCTTCACATTTTTGCCATTTATATTTATCCTCAAAATATTAGGTTCTATAGTGAAGAGTGTAACGATTTAGTTCATAAATATACTCAAAATATAACCATGGATGAAAATTGATTTTACTGAGGGAGAACAAGTATTTCACTGTGTCAATATAGATTATACATATACTGAAGCAAATGCAAATATTTCATTGAGTGAATATGGATTTTACAGACAGTAGACAAAAATTTTGCTTGGTAAATATATCCAGTGTACGTACAGTATTCACACAGACCAATAAGCTAGATAGAGAAGCTTCCTCTCAATCCTGATGAGAGATCATTTAATATTCAGAAACAATCTTTTCTATAGAAACAAATGTTTCACACGTTCTTTTGAAAAATATTGATCACTCACCCGAGCCGACCTTTCGTAAATGCCCTGTTGTCGCTGCTGATTTTCGGTGTTAGTTTTGCGTTTGGGATCAGAGTCTTGATGCGGAGGGTGGTGTGGCGGGTGGCCGTGGGTGGGCGGTACACGATGCGAGGTATTAGGGCGGACTGACGGCTTCGCCACCTGCTGCAGACTCTGGTGTCGCTTCTCACACATGGCCTGCACATCCTCAATCCGCTTCAGTACCTTCTGGACATTGGCCTTTAAGAGAAATAATGTTTTGATTTAAAAAAAAAAAAAATATTTCTCAGGGAGAAATTGATGATAGTTGCCAGATTGTTTGTACTCTATAGTCAAGATGCGTTTTTGTTTATGTGATGAAAAATTGTGCCAAGTTGTATTTTGGCATTATCAGTCATTTCAAACTCCATAACTTGAAAATATTTTTTTGGAAAAAAAGGCCCACAACTAAACTACCGAAGATAATCTCCCTTGCTACTTACTCAGTCAATACATAACCTTTAAAATAGATAAATCTCATACTACAAGACATAGTTTTTTACTGCTTCTCTTGAAAAGGAAATACCTGATACATACTAAAGTTAAGGTTATATGCTCTCTCGTAATATTCTCTGGTATTTTTTAAAAACAATTATCTAAAATAATTCCGAAATATCATATTTGTTATCCGTGCATTCAATTTCATTTATCTTTTAAATAAGTTGTCTGTCCATTATACATGTCCAAATCATCATTCGTAGAAACAAATATTTTACATGTCTTCATGCAGAACTCTTTTGTTTAGGAGATTCATTTCATTGTTAGGTAGCATACATCCTTAACTATGTTGGTCCTTATACCACACCTTAACAATGTTCTTTTTTACATTTTTTTATGATCTTCAAATCATATTTCCTGAACAGAGTGTACCAATCTTTGATTATACAGTAAAACCCCACCTCCTCAAACTTGGTTTACTCGAATACCCCTCATTCGTCGACAGTTCGTTTGGTGACGACTGAGTTTGTACATATTCTTTGTAATGTAATCCTAGATTAGTTGAACCGTTATTCCTGGAATACCCCATATTCCTCGAACAAAAATTTGCCCACGACTCGTCATGGTCGTAGTATTAATCCTATGTATTTGTCTAACAGGTGTGACATGTCACGCCCGACAGATATTTTACCTGTGTATCACACCGTCACTGCAAAAATAGCTTGGGCTAAGACTTCTGTTTACAAGTATCAGCGACATGCTTATAATAGCATAAGTACTGTTTTACAATACGTCTAAATGTTTAATGTTTAACACTCAAGATTTGACAGATATATACTTGACGATCTAGAACCAACCTCGGATTACTTGAATACCATGTATTCCTCAAACTATCGATCTGTGCTCCACAAGTACGAGTAAGTGGGGTTTTACTGCATATTTTTACACGAATATCTGGTAGCAGAGAAACTTACTCGGGTTTCTGGAGTGATCATGCTTTCAAACAATTGACGGAACTCTTTTGGGTTGTTGAGACGGAGCTCTCGGGCAGTTGCCACGAAACTCTCAATGTCCTTGAGAGCAAGTTCGGCTCCCGCGGGGCTCTGACAGGCATCCACCTGTTGCTTGGACAGCATGTCGACACCCTTTGTACACCATTTATTGGCCTGTAAAAGGTCAAAGTTCAAAGGTCAAATAATATTCTTTTTAAGAGATATGGTTTAAACAACAGGTCCATGGTCAAATTATGATATCAAAATAAGACGATGTCATTTCAAAATGATATGATAAACAAATGGCTTGCACAGACAAAGATCACAGGACAAATTTATTCGTAAAATGTCCAGTGAGTAATTTATATAGAACCATGCCTTAATGTTGAAGACCTCGTGAAAGCATTCAAGATACATGGTGTGCTATAAATGATATCCGACTTAACCCTTACCCCCCTATGCAACTTCAGTAGACTCTCCCATGCATTGATCTGGATGAGTCCATTATGGTCTACAGTGGTGAAATGGTAAAAATACCCTCAAAACATAATGCTGTGTTTTACAATAAACATCCTTGAGATAAAACTTGATATTCCAGAAACCTTTAAAATTTGTGAAATCAATTGAAAACGAAAGTGTTTTGTATTTGTCAAGAGTAAAACAAAACTTGTTTTATAATGACCTTGTCAATTCGGTCCTGAAGGTCATGTGAAGTGTCAAGAAGGTCTCGTCGTCGCCTTAGTAACTCCCGATACTGGTCACACATGCGCTGCAGTTCGATACACTTTGGACGTATAGAGTCCACGGCATAATGGTCATCCATGATGAATTGCTCGCCATTCGTCCTCATCTTCTCCGCCTGCTCGAGGTCTCTCTGGAAAATACAAAAAGATACACAGGTAAATATCATATAGTTAGAACTAAAATGATAAAACAGTACTATTTCAAAATTGCATGGAGCATCAGAAACTATCAAGATAAAAAGGATCCAAAATCAATTCTTAATACCTGTGATTTATAATGATACATAATTCAATAAGTTTCAATATATCAGACAAGTCATGTTGGAGGAATAAGATGCAGAAACAATATTTTATCATTATAACTCTCAACCAATAAATAAAATTTCAAATTGTATTTTTGTTTGTTTGTGTTTTACATCCTATTAACAGCTATGGTCATTTAAGGACGTGCCAGGTTTTGGTGGTGGTAAGGAAAGCCGGAGTTTCCGGAGAAAAACCACCGACCTACGGCCAGTACCTGGCGACTATACCCCATGTAGGCCTTGAACCTGCGACCCAGTGGTAGAGGGATAGTGGAAGCATAATGTCAGACAGTCCTTAACACCTCCACCACTGCAGCCCCCCAAATTCAATTCAAATTTAAACTGGAAAAATCAAGAAAAAAGAAATCCCCGACAGATCAGTAACTTTGCAATAAATTGGGGATTCACGACATCCAAGCTTACAATAAAAAAAGGTTTAAACAATATTCTTTTAGAAATACAGCAAAACCTGTCTTATCTGACCCATGAGTATTCCAACATCCTGCCTAATTCAACATATATAAAGATGATCGATGTTCCAATTCTGAGGAAAACAACCAAAAAAGGCCTCAGTATTCTGACATACTGTCTAATCCAACACCTGATTACACTGCTTAGTATTTCAACAACCTGACTACTCTGACCACTGTGTATTCAGTAATACAAATATCTATGCTTTGTTTAATAAAATTCATAAAAACTAGAAAATGTCTGTACGACATGAACGCCCCCGTCACCATGTGAAATTAGTTTCAGTGTTTGATGTTCTATAAATAGTTACAACCACTTTGATCATGGGATGGGGCGCGATGGGACAGGACAGGCATGGGCAACACTCTATATACCCCCCATTTTATGGTGGGGGCATAAAAATGGTTGTTTAAATCATTTTTATGCAAATAACCAAATCATTTGGTTATCTGTTTTCAGTAGACTATAGCATCAGTGGATATTATGTTCAAACAATTCAGTTTTGTACTGATCGTTTTTGCATAATTTGTTTGTCTATAACATCCGTCGGAGACTATAGAAAATTTTATATACAAAACTGTTGGGCCGATCAATGGTACGCATCCAGCCTGAAAACAGATACCATGAATATGCACAAAGTACCTCTAGATTATTCATGATGTGGAGAAACGATACAAACCCTCTGATCCAATAACTCCATGTTTATGTATAATGGAGTACCCATAGTACATAACAGGTTTGAAAATTATTGTTTTTTTTCTCAGAGCTGTATATATATTTGTCGGAACATTAACTATGGTCTGCCAACATAGATTAAGGATCCCTGCACCAAAAAGTTGTAATTAAGTGTAGGAAACAGATTTTTCCGGGATGACTATAGCTTTGATAAATCATTTCTGTAAAGAAAACCATACTTTTATGAGAAACAATGAAGAAGATAACAGTGTTCTGAGTGGAAAAAAGATCAGCAGGGTTATAGTCAGGGATTCGAACCCTGGACTTCGGATTAATGTTATACATGTACTATCGTTCTAACCAACTGCGCTACCAGGTCAACAGAAGTACCTGACCCAACTGTGCTACAGTTATATCCAAACGGAAGTTAAAGGGAGGTTACTATAGATACCTAACAAGGTTATTGAAGATACGAAAAGACACAGTGCAATATGGGACAGGGATCCTTAAGTGTTAATTCTAGTAAACTTGGCTTGTTCAAAATATGTATACAGGGCTGCTTTGTTAACTCGTTCACCCCTGAAGATACATTTGAACTCTTCCAATTCAAAGTTTGGAATAGTTCATTATGAAATTTCAGGGGTGAATGAGTTAAAGTGACTTGATTGTAAAATATCTGAATTGCGTTTGACACTTTTGAAATTGGAAAAAAGGAAGTTGGTCCCCAGGAAACAATGGCTGGTAGAGGGACAACTGGGCTAGTGGTGGCTGGATTAATGTGTGACTCAACTGCTCAATTTGCTTCTATTTTAACTATTTTCTAACATGCATTTTTTCTATCAAATATTTTATTCTTAATTAAGTATGCCATTCTTGTTCACTTAGCTCTTGTAAAGAGCTATCCTAAAAAGAAAATCTGCTCAAATTAGTGCATAGCTCTTGACAACTCTAGAACTAAGTAAGTTTAATTTGCAAGTCAGGGGTAAAATTCTGAAGGCTCCAGAACTACGCTTAATTTATAAAGTCAAGGTTTAAATCTTGAAGGCTAGAATTGTTTGTCTGGTAGTTCAAACGTCTAAGACTCAAGTTTCTGGAGTAACAGACTATAATTGTAGGCCAAATTTTGGAGAGACTGAATTCAAAGAACCTTGCTAAGAAATATTCATTCTTTTTTGCTATAGCATTTCAGACACTGATCAGAACTAATGGCTGGGGTCACATAACCTGTCAATAACATATCCAGTGTCTAAGTTCGTAAGTATCATACTTGGCAGACTTGCATTTATGCAGGTGTAGACAGGTATGACTTTGATTAGAAGTAATAAAAAGTATTCTGATCTAAATTTCATGAGTGTCACAAACATCACAATTAATTACAAAATGTATTTGACACTCTAGATCCAATATCTAGCCATACCTAGAGCTGACACTGAAATAAATCAAATATTTTGTGTAGCCTAAGTTCATTAAAGATAATTTTAGGTACTTAATTCAAAGTAAAAGAGCTATGAGAATTTAAACAAAAGTCCCTGAAAAATGCCCATTTTTTTTTAAGAGTTGAATATAACTATCAAAGTTTTAATATTTTTGGGATAAATTTACTGTTTTAAAAGATCAAGCTGACAATAAATAGAGGATATTTAATGGTGTCTTCAGTGTGGCTAATATTTTGATATTTTTCACGAGTGCGCAAACATTTACCATATTTAACAACCAATAATTCTACCTTCGCTTCATTTGAATCTGAACAAAAGATTGTTGCCTTTGAATGCAGCGAATAGAAGATACCTTTGTGATTGGTCAATACCAAAAAGTGATATTTTCACACTGAAAATATCACTTTTGATAGTTGTCACAGTGTGAAAGATATCAGTTTTATCAAGTTGATAGAATCCAATATTTCACTGGCAAAAATGTAATAAATAAAGAATGTCTCCAACCTTAATATCAATTAAAGACCTATAAACAACATTTAAGCATTTTATTTATTTGTTTACTTCGATTCCACACATGACACTGATCGACACTTAAGATCTAATATCAGTTAAATCATTCTTATCAATCCAATGGAATGTGTTTATATATTTAACTGTATATAGGAAATCTGTTATGCAATTGGCATACTTATCAACTTCAAAATTATTGCAATAATTTTTAAATAGAATTAATATATTTGCCATGATGTTTGATTAAGTTTGCCATGGAGTAGAACCTACATGTAAATAGATTCTTAAAATGATCCCTAATTGATAAATAATAACATAGGCTATCATAGTTTGAAAAATAATAGTTAAGACTATCATAGTTTGACAAATAATAATATACTAGGCTATCATAGTTTAATAAATAATAATATAGACTATGATAGCTTGACAAAAATTAATATAGACGATATCATAGTTTGACAAATAATAACATATTCTATCATAGTTTGACAAATAATAATATAGGTTATCACAGTTGAACAAATTATTTAAAGTCACTTATAGACTCTCAACGTTTACAATTGTTCTTCATACTGAATAAATTAAATTTGAGTAAAAAGCAAAAGGGATTTCTGTTGATTTCAATCAAACAGATTAGGATGAAAAATTCAGCATTTACCTCTATCAAAGTGAATATTGACAAGTAATTATTACTGCATTTGCCAAAACTAAACTGCAGTAAACGTTTCTATGAATACAGTTGTTTTATGTTGGTATGAAATATCCAATTTATATATATATTTAAACTTTTTTTTAATATTTTATTTTAGTATTAGTTATCTGGAACACCTGATCTTATTCTCTTCATACTTTTTGAAGGGTTCCATTGAAAATCTTTCCTAAAATGTTATATTTTGCCCTTAGAGTTTAGCTTCATCTATACATATCGATCCCCTATACGTACCTACATTCTTAATCATGAGCTCAAACATTTGAGAAATGCAAAGGGACCCTAAGTAATTGATACCTTAAGTATCTGTGATCTGATCATTCAAGTGAATTCTATCTTCAGCAGACACGATAAAGTTGTGAATTATATTCATCTTGAGCCAGAAAACATGGAAACTTACAACCACCAATGTAAAAAGATACACATGCCCTCTGCTAGTTTATCTCATTTTCTGTGAAAATCATATCCTGGGAAAAGTCTGATGTTTAGACTTTTATCTTAACCTGCCCATACTCCATGAAATTGTTTATAAAATGTACCAGATTCTTCTTTCAACACAAAAACAGGTCATTTAACTCCAATTTGAGCAAATCCCATCACACCTACCAAACTTATTGAAACCATATACTACACCTGTTTCGGTAAATCACAAAATGAAATTCGCTTGATTAAACATTTTAAAACGATCTTGACGTCTGCCGTGGAATTTTTAAATTGTCACAGACATGTGGAGACCTTCGAATTTGAACAGACAATAGCAGATCAACCTATCAATTGACATCAGACTCATCAATTGTTATTTAAAGACAGGTAGTATTACACCTGTGTACAGGTGATCACTTATCATAGGATCAGGTGGTTCAGACAAAATGAACAATAACTGCTGAATTTAAAATTTACACTTGTTACCAGTGAAATAGCGAATTCAACATCTAGCAAAAACTTTTATCCATGCATCCCCAATATTTTGAATAAATTCGCAAAATTTGCGCCAATGCGAAGACCTGATGATGTTGAAGATATATTTG